CCCCCCCCATGCTCAGCAGCAAACCAGGAAGTGGACTGCTCCCCCAGCTCGGCAATCAGCCATGGGGGGACCCTGGGTGGTCCCCCCAGACCCAGGAGGTACCAGTCCACTTCTGGGTCTGCTGCCAGGCATGCTGGGGACCACCCCCGTACTCCTGTGGGACGTTCCACCATCACAGTGTTCACAAGCCGCCTGGTACCTCGAGATACATAGAAAAAGCTGTCTCTCTGTCCGAATCTTCAAATCTTTCTGAATCTCTGTGAATCGATTAGGAGGGTTCCGATTCAGTTTGGTGAGATTAAAGGGTCTCCTGATTAGATTTGGATTCAGAGATTCGGCCACCAAATCTCTGCTGAATCAAATCAGCGACTGAAGCTTCACACAGCCCTACTGGTGGCACATCACCACACATTTCACCTAAGGATGATTAGACAGTGACATCTTTCAGTCATTCAAACAAATGACAGACAGCACATTTTGCAGCCAACTACTAAGCTTCATGGAGCACCCAGTGTTGCCCCTCAGATATATTCTGAGGGCTAAGAAAGGTTTAAAAAAACAGTCTCAGCACAATTAAATACTCACAAACAGGGAAACCTACATTTCTAACAGCAAGTTCAATAATCCAAAAAAGATAAAAATGACTAAACAGTACATATAAGGCATATCAAGCACATGATTAGAAACTATAAAATATACATTTATCTAAAGAAATAACAATCTAGTTAATATTTGAGAGAATTTAAAATTAAATTTAAGTCCTAAAGTCTCAAAAAGCTTTTAAAAGGTGGCCAGGCTTTTTGGGAAAAGGACTTCTCACTTAGGTTTCCTTTGCCTCTTCTTCTCACCCACCCAAACTTTGTTCAAGCAAATGCTATACTCTATCACCTGTAAGAAACTACTGCCTACTATTGTCAACACCAGTTTCATCAAAAATCCAGCACCCAGCGCTGCCCTTGCGTTCAGAGTTAACCCATATGCTGCTTGAGTGTGCACTGAAGCAGCCCTGTGCACAGAGGCCAGGACCCACACCACATATGGTGCCCGCCCTGTGGCCCTCTCTGCATGCAGTGCCACCCCCTGGCCAATTCGAGACCTGTGCTGTATGTCCCAGACTGGCCAAGGGGTGTCTGTCCAGGAAACACTGCAGTCCTGTATGTCCTGGACTGCCACCTGGGTGCTCTGGGACAGGTGCTGCATGTGGCATGAGTCTTAGACTGAACAGAATGGGTGCCACATGTGCTGGATCCAACATGGTAAGAGGAAGACTGGCCACACCATTCATTCAACATGGACCAACCCACGTCACTCATCTGGCCCATGGGATCAGATTATTTTGACACCCCTAGTCTATATCAGTCTCTCCAGTTTCCTATTTATCTTACAAACAGTCATCATTTCATAACATGCATTATTTTTTTCCAGCAATAACAATTAGCCCATTACCTGCGGGTGCCCCTGCCATTACTGTTAAAGCTGCCATCGATTTGGTACCGATGTAATGACTTTTTACAAGAAAACGAGCTAAATCCAAAACGGAATCAAAGGGCTGGCTGAGCACTTTCTGGGCCCATTCGCATACAAGCCGGCATGCAGCAGACACAACTTCCTCATCAGCACTTTGAAGCTGCCCTGATGACTCTGCCCCATCCAACTAGCACAAAGAAAAAGTAGAGACTGGTTACCAAAAAGAAACAAACACCATAAAGCAAATGATAACACAGGAACGGAACATATTTCCTTAGAAGTCTATGTATTCCTTTTACATCGGCATTATCCAAGACAAAACATATCAACATTCCTACTAGTTCACAGGTAAAGACATTATGTGAGGCTAATATTATATTTCTGGAAGAATAGAAGAATACTGCACGAGGAATCCTAATATTTTAAATGACCCACAATCTGAAGTCCCTTATATAAGAAGCCAAACTAAAATTAGCACATTTTTAGTGTCTTGCTACTTTTTGTTTTCTGAGACTACCAATTTCCCATGCCACCTATTACTGGGAAGTAGTTTGCGTCATTGCAACTCCTGCTCCCTCTCTTAATAGCAATCTGATTAATTTTATAGAGAAAACAAAAATACAGAGACTCATTAAAAAAATAACTTGTGAATGGCAGCACTACAAAAATCTGCTTCACATTCTAAATCATATTTTTAAACGACCAATTTTTGTTGAAGCTTAAAGCAAATCAAACAAGGCTTGTCTGATGATAAGAGTATTGTAGAAAACTCCTGTATATAAAACTGTTTCAGAAAGTAATGGCAATTTCAAGATAAAATCATTTTGTGTGCAGTGATTGCTTACTGGACCACATCACTTCTGTATACAGTAGTAAACGGTGGGTGAGCTTGATGATGCCACCAGTGTTCCCTACCACTGCGTAGTCTCCCATTCATTGCACACAAAATGGTTTAATTTCAAAACTGCCATTACTTTCTGAAGCATCCTTGTATTTTGAAAACTGCACAGCTCCTTAGCCTGTTTATTTCAGATTAAACTAATTTTCCTTTAATAATGTTAAACAGTGAGAAAGAGTATAGAAAGAATTAGCTTCCACAAATATGTGTGTGTGTGTATATATATATATATATATATATACTGTACCCCATCTCCAGTTTTATGAAAATCAAGGTTGGGCAGTGTTGGCATATGCACAAAAGCTTTCTTCCTCAGTCCACTGTAGCAATATGTGATCAAGAATTAAGGTCTAAACAGTTTCTGTTCCCTGGTTTATAAAAAAAAAAAAAAAAGCAAGCATTTCCTCCTGTTTTCCCTGCATAAACTTTATAAGCAAAAAGAGAAATGCAGGCTCCACACACCTATTGGCATTTCCCCCCCATCAGGCTAGGAATTAAAATTATGTGACTATTAGGTTCCTCTCCTGCACTGTTGTTCATCTGACTAGACCCCTGCACTCATGTAGAGTCTAAACAAAATCATAAAGGTTCCACATGAGCACAGCAGTCCACCTACATCCTCTCACTAGCAAGTCTTGGTACATTTAGCTGATTTACAGGCTGGAATAGATCATTAGATCATGTAACCAGACCATCTTTACAGGATGAACAAAGACTTCAACCAGTTACCCCCAGATTTAGCCTGATAACTTGTACCTGTCTAAAACATATCTTTCAGAAAAGCTGCCTTGAAGGCCTCAAGAGATTGAGAGTCCCACCACTTCCTCTGGCAGTTTGTTCCCATAGTCAGTCATTCATTCTCTTGGTTAAAATCTGTCCCTCTTTTAAGTGAATGCATCTGGTTATAACTTCTAGGCATTGGTTCTTAGTATGCTTGCCTGCACTAAAGCTAATGTGACTTTTAGTACTTGGCATCTTTCTTGATTGAACTACTTATATAACATGATTAGGTCACCTCCTAATTTTCTTTCTGGTGAGCTGAGCAGATTGACATCCTCAGCTCTCTCACAGCAAGGCATTTTTCCCTGTCCTCAAACAATTGTTAGAGCTGCACTGCACTGTCTCCAATTGTTCTACACAATTTTTAAAGAAGGGGATAATACAGCTGGATACTATGTTTTGGCATCAGTCTCACCAAGACCATACAAACTCACCTCCCTACTCACTTCTACTCTAACCCAGTTGTCTGTACATCTAAGCCTCCTCCAGTTCTTCACACTGGATGTCTTAATAAAAGTGTTAGGTGATACTAGGTTGACTTTATTGGTTTTTCATGCCTTTAACTGCTTGTTTGCCAACATCATCAGCTCAGATATCAGGTTGAACTGATATTTTTTGACAATCAGCTCTTTTCTCTCCTGTTTTAGACATTAGTTGAGCTTCTCCCATTTATGAAAAGCTTCCCTTTAATCTGAACACTTCTGTGGCTTGACAGATAATAATAACAAGGTTTAAGAAATAGAGTTCAAGAAATATTACTGGCTTTATGCCTCAGTTTAGGGATGTGCACTGGTACAGCACAATTAAGTAACATATTTTTTACTTGCATTATTACAACAGTATAGGTATTGCACGAATCTAATGCAAGTTGCTTTATTCCAATATTCATCTCTTTGTTTTTAAAGATAAGACTAGGTTCCCAGAATAAATAACTGCAGGAACAACTAAGCACTAGAATTAGATGACCAGCAAAAATCAAGTAGGGACAAAATTCATGAAGATGTGCCTTGCATCTTAATGATAAAAAGATTAACACATGTCTAAGCATTATACCAAGTACTTTGGGGAAATTGTCTGCATTTCTTATTTAAATTTATTTCTAAATTTAGCTAGCAGTTGAGCTACAACAACAAATGTTCTTTAAGCAAGGGCAGAAGAGATTACTGAAAAGTGTTTTAGCAAAGGATATTTTGATTTGCCTCTTGTGCCCAGACGGCGGGCTTTCATATTTGGAAAGACATTTTTCATGATCTTTCCAAAGTCAGCAGCACTTAATGGATGGTAACCAAGATTGTCACAATAGCTCCTGCAACAGAGGGAAAGAAATTGTGAATAAAACAAAATAAATGGCAATTCTACATAACAGACTTCCATCAAAGACTTTCAAAGAAAAATAATCAGATCAGAACTATAGTCAATATTAGTGAATCTAGCTACAATAAATTGAATACATTAAAATACACAGAATTATTAATACAGTCAATTTTACTCCGCACACTTGTGAGTTCAAACTCAAGTGGAGATTCAATACACAGTGGCCTTGTCAACAGACCAGTTAGGAACAGCTGTATCTAACTGGATTAGGATTTTATGTTTTGTGTATTTAAGACACGGGTACAATAAAAGGAGAAATGTGACCAGCCAAAAAGTGGGTAACAACTACTTGGGTGTGACAAGGTGTGACATCATGCATGATTTTTTAAAAGCAGTAGGAGAGAGATTTTGCTTCTGTGTAGAGTGTAAGGTCTTGTCCACATTAGTTCCGGAAAGGTCAGAACTTAAATTAATAAATTCACCTTCCTAAAAAGCCAGCTTCATTCTCAAGTGTTTAATGTGAACATACACTGGGGAACTGGATACTTGGGGACTGTTAATGAGTGACTGGGACTGTAGGGGTTTGTCTTCACACCAATTTGCCCTGGTTTAATTACTCCAGCACAAAGCCCTGTGAGGACAGTTTCATTTATTTAAAACTGATTAGTTTGGTTTACCAGGCCTACATTAATTCAGGGTTGTTCTATATACAGCTACTGCATTGCTATAACTATATCAGGTTAAATAATTAAAGTGGTACAATCTCTTACTGAGGTGCAATTTTATTGGCACAAAGGTACTTCTATTGGCAAATAGGAATAAACTATGCTATCAGCAATTTTTTTCTCCAGCATCCAATGGTAGAAAAGAGCAGAAGGATTTTTATTTTTAGAGCCACCCCTCTTCCTGCCAAAAAAGTAAAATAATTTTAAAGAAGTAGTAATTTTACTCCAAAATGTAAATCTTGGGGAAATTTATAGGCACATGAATAGCTAGGGATAACAGTGGGAACTCTTCTGAAACCTTATCTGTATAGATTCATAGTATAGTCATAGATTTGTATAGCAGGGGTTTATGGTAGCATACATATTTGTATGCACTTACACACCTCTTTTTCTTCAAGGACAAAGTGTTTTACAGATATGAATTAATTAAGCCTCAAACATTACTGCAAAGTATACTTATTTATGTTCAATGATCTAACCAAGGTCATAAGGTTGCAAAATTTGCTCTCCTATGCTCTAACCATAAGATCCTGCTGCACTCCTCAGCAAAACACTATTAGAAATATTCAAAGATATTCAGCTTTTGAAAGAAAGAAGGAGCTGTGCACAATCCTCCCTATGTAGACCTCGTATCTGGACAGCAGAGAAACAATCATTTCACACACCAGCATGTGGTATTCTAAAAAATTTGACAGAATTCAGCTGCTGTGACTAACAAAAACACATTCTAATTATAAATAAAAACAGGGAAATCACAGTGGTTAGAGTAGATATGAGGACTTAACTTAGAGATTTGACAGCACTCAGGAAAAAGGAATTTCATTCCTTTTTGCAAAAGTAGCAATGGCAGTAATTACAAGTGACTTTGTGCACCTCAGTAAACTTAGTGAAGGTCTGTTCTGAAGACTAATCTGAATGGTGGTTGGAACAAGTGTTGAGATCCTGTGAACAGTATTTTAATAGGGAACTTCCTCGATACTGCAGAACACATATCTGAGTTGGTTTTCCATTACTGCCAGCATCAGTGAGTACATAGGGCTGGCAGATCATGAGTGGAGGACAACAAGACCCACCTTATGAGGTGCAAAGGAAGAGGAAAGGAGGATGAAGAGCATTAACCTCCACTGAGCGCATCTGCAGATGCTTTCATGCAACCAGGGGCCAACTTACATCTAGTAATGCAGATGGTGATGGGGGAAGGGACAGAAGGGGACTTTCTCATCATTTTTGCTTTCTTTAGGAAAGTGGTTTTTAACCTTTCTAGACTCAAAACATCCAAGATACCCCTCCATAACTTTTGTGGACTGATTTGCACCATATTTAACAAAAATATTACACTACCTAACTCCTTGCAAAGGGGCCAGGCAGTGGGAGCAGAAGAGAGGCCTGAGCCTGAGATCGTCATCTCACACTTCAGGGGCAACCTTAAAAAAAAGTCTTGTGGAACACAAAGGTACCCTGGCACCCTGGTTGAGAATCACTGCTTTAGGGATGGAGGAAATTGAAGAGACCAGGGCAACTGAAACCCAAGAAAATTCTTGCGATAACAGTGATACTATTTCTACAATTTGCTATACCTTTCCAGTTCCGCTAAACTGCTTTATAGCTAATGCCAAGCACAGGTCTACCACCTGGAGTCAGAGGTAGGTTCACCTACTGCCATTGGTTGGCTCTGCACAGACCTTTGTAAGCCAGTTTCCCCTATCTTCAGCTTTTAACCAGCCTGCTCTGGACTCTGAATTCATTCTCAAAATGTGTGATACTGCTGCTGGCTGATATGAATTACTGTATTCTATTTCTCCACTGTAGTTTGGAGCATTGTCTCCATAGCAAGCATATGGGGTATTATAGAATATCTTTTACTTAGTCAGTGAAATCTGAAAGGGTAGATGCTAAAATCCTTGTGTGAAGTTAAGTGCAAGTAAAACCCAGTTAAATTAGTAAGCACCAGTCTTAGGACTTAATTCATCAGTTCTTTTAGAATTAAATTTATTTGCACTTTAGGAAAAAAATGCAGTCATCAAGCTTAGAAAATCTGTTTCTAACTAGTATGTAGTAGCAGCCACAGACTTAAGTAGTGGATAAGGCCCATATGCCCAGGCCAGCAGTTCCTGCCAGCCTGGAATTTGTTATTTTGCAGACAGCCCATTCCATGAGGCCTTGTGCTCCTTCCTCTTGTTCAGCCTAAAATTTTTCACATCCATCTCCAGTCTCTTATTGACCAAATTCCTACTGACAAGAATAAAAGGGTATAAACTACCTGTCACAGGATCATGTAGGTGACCTGTGCCTAGAAAAGGGTTAAGGACAGCTGCCAATCATCGGGGCGGCTCAGCTGCCGGTTACTGGGGCAACCGTGTTGGTCAGGTAACCAGAAGGGGGCAGGGCCGGGCCTTTATAAACAGCCCAGGCCCGAGCCTAGCTGGCAGTCCCCTTCTGGCAGCTGGAGGAGCAAGAGCTCTGCAGTGGAGCTGAGCAGACTGATAGAATAAGTACCTGCATCATGGCAAGGGTGGAAAGAACCCTGACTAGGCGGTTTTACTGGAAAGCCAGGTGGGGCCTGGACTTTATGTTATAGCCAGAAGGCTTACGGTTGTGTTGCAGCCGGTTGGCTTATAGTTTTGTGTTCCTTGTTTGATATTGTTACACCAGAGGACCAGGTGAGGCTGTAAGGGTGCAAGGAGGCCTCACAGGAGTGCCCCAGTGGTCTGGGGGTTCCTGGTGCCTGTAGGGGCACAGTGAGCGGTGCCAGGGTGGCACAGCTCATGGGTGCCGGTGCAGAGCTGTACTGGGGGGGTGTTGACCCCAGCCCTGTGTGGGCAAGAAATGGAAAAGCCCAAGTAGGGCAGAAGACCCTAACAGTGGGTCAGGGGGCCAGGCATGGCTACGGCCACCTGAGCCCCGACCGTAGAAAGCACGGAGGCAGACCCAGTGGGGTGCTGCCAAAGCATGGAGGCAGGCCCGGTGGGGTGCTGCCTGTATGGGTGAAGCCCTGACGGGGGTCAACCCCAATGAGATGCCCCGGAAGGGGGCACGCATAGGATTGATAGAAACCCCAGTTGGGGTGTGGACTGGACAGAGTCCCAGAGGGCTCTACAGTGGTGGGTGACCCCAAAGGGTCACAGGGGCCAGGTAAGACTCAGGCCGCCTGAGCCCAACTGGAGAGGGTATTGTTAGTAAGCCCGAGAGGGCTAACGACTAGAGGGCAGACTGCACAGAGTTCCAGAGGACTCTACAGTGGTTGCGGGACCCCGAAGGGTCACAGGGGCCAGGTGAGGCTCAGGCCGCCTGAGCCCAACTGGAGAGAGTATTGTTTGGAAGTCCAAGAGGGCTACCGACTAGAGGGGCGCTGGTTGTGTGACAAGCCCAGAGGCGCTAGAGGAGAGGCGCTGGTTGCGTGACCAGCCCAGAGGCGCCTGGCAGGGCGCAGAAAGGAAAAGGACCAGATAACATCCGGAAGTGCTGCGAGGCTTGGGGCGTGCTAAAGGGGAGGTAGGAGGCATGCGTAGTCCATAAGGCTGGGGGTGCACCGGGTCACTCCAATGGACTGGGGAACAGTATTAGCATACACTGTGTACCAGGGGATCGAAGGCAGCCTCCCATAGAAACTTATATATATCATCAAAGTCATGGCGGGCGGGAATAGAGGGGGCTGGATCGCTAACTTGGCATGGTAGGGGGCGCTAGCGGGATCACAGCCACTCCTAGGCCCCACTCTGTGACACTACCTATACATAAATTTAGGCTAGCAATCAGAATAAATTCTAACCAAGAGAGGAGGGAGATTCTGGAACAGCCATCAAATAAGAATAGTAGAGAAGAAGCTATTTTTTGATGAAGCTTGATCAGTTTCTGAAAAGGAGTCATATGATCTGACAGCAGGGGACTGAACTTAGTGACCCAGTAGGTCTTTAAGTCTAGTCTGGGCATAAGAAGCAGAGCCTGACCAGTGGTAGAAGCTTATACAATCGCATGTGCCATTTTCTTCAAAATATTTTTCTCTTCAACTGTGGATAAGATTCTGCATAGTCCGTACTATGCCCATAGGGCCTTGCTCAAACAGATGGCAGCTCTACTTTAATAAAGGCTTCAGGACTGCCCTCTCTGGTCCAGCTTCATTAAGCCCCCCTGTACACCTTGCCAGCGAAAACCCCCTGACCCTGGAGATGGTGACTGCTGGGATTCCTAAGGCTTGAGGGTTTTATGCTAGGGGTGCACCCCTGCAGCTGGGAGCCCTGTCAGCTAATGGGGCTCCCAGCCTCAGGGG